TTTATCCTTTTTCCATCTATAATACCAAGTCTATTACTTCCTATGCTCTAGTCTCTTGTTTGCCAACCCACATATGTTGTGGTTCAACATTAAACCAAATTAAAACAAGCAGTAACACGACATTTATGGATTGCCACACAAGAGACTATGGCATGGGAATTCACAGACTTGGTATTAGAGATAGAATCAAGATAGACGCGGAGGAGACTGGAATTAGTTGACTGACAGTAGGTCTGTTGTACCATGTCCATGTAGCAAAGGCTTGATGATGAGACTTACTCAAAGACTCGAGCCTCTAATTAGTCTCCCAGACGCAGGGGAGGGCGAATAACGCCTCGAGTAGCACAGATGGAGTGGCAGTGGTCGTGTGAAATACGTGAAGCAGGGATAGATTAGACGGATCTTACGGGGCAAGAGAGAGACTGTGATAAGACCTATGGAAGGAGAACGACGTAACAATATGGCAGAGTGATCAACAATCCACGCACAAGGGTGAAGGGGGTGAAAACGACAGTGTGAAGTGTGAAGGGTTTTCATAAATGCCGCTCAAAGGAGCACAGTAACAATTGTAACAGTAAAGGTGTGATAGGAGGATATGGGAGGTGTGAATAGGCGAGGACAGAAGAGGAGATACCACAACGGTTTAGCACACGTTTGGTCAAAGGATCGACTTCACTTGTCTCTTTGAGGAGTTGTTGTGTGGTACTAAGAATGGTGAGACTTACTGATGATGCCGGTGAAACATCTGGGAATGTACCACGTCCACGGTCCTACTCTCGAAATGATGATGCATACAATGGAGTCCGGACTAGGTGCGTTCCTCTAAGTCTTCCTACCAATACGACCAAGTTGCCAAAACAAGGTCAAACAACCTCTATAGATAAATATTGCAGAATAATCTTTAGCATTATGCCTTAAGGATTCATTAGGCTCATTAAAGCTTTCAAGAAGACCTGGTTCCAGTTGAATGTGAAGAAGCCCTTCTGAGAATGGCCGGAAGTAATGGCTACGTTTGTTCACTATGACCTGCCAGAGTGTTGTATCCAGATTCCATCAGAGTCGCATTAATGTGTTGATTTCATTCCTTTTATTCTTATGCACAAATATGAAATATTTACTCTGCCAACTTTCCAGATCATCTTTGTACTGCTGCTGCTCTGCTTCCTCTTCAAAGAGGCGCACAACATCTACAAGAAGCGAGCAGCCTACTTCCAGAACATCTGGTCCTACTCCTCGCTTGTCATTGTCTTCTTGTGTCTGGGAAGCGTGAGCGCCTTCTCCTATGCATGTCTGCAAGCCAACAAGTTGGCCACTTCCTTCGCAGAATCCGAGGGGAATGCTTATGTCAACTTTCAGGCGATCTCATTTTGGCACGAGAGCCTCACTTACCTGAACGCCTTCATAACTTTTGTCTCGATCTTGCATGTGCTCCACCTTCTTCGGTTCAGTCCGCAAATCGCACTATTCGGCATTGTGCAACGGCACGCTTCACAAGATATGAAATACTTCTTCATCATGTTCACGATGCTCTACCTGGCCTTTGTGACCGCGTTCTACTTGCTCTTCATGGATGTACTTGCCGAATTCCGCACCTTCATGGGTTCGGCTGAAGAGTGCCTGCAGATCCTGCTGGGGGTGTTCAACTTTTCCGGCATTTATGAAAGCGACCTGGTTCTAGGACCATTCTTGTTCACCCTATTTTCTGTGCTCGTTGTCTTCATCCTCATCAGCATGATGATCGCCATCATGGACGAGAGCTTCGGAGTCGCCCGCGAACTCTCCCAATCGCAGGGCAGCAGCGACAACGACATGATCCACTTCATGTTGAGCGAATTCCTCACCTGGACCGGCTTGATCAACACCCCTTTCGGCGATTGGATGGCCGGGCGTGGTACCTCCGTCGAGACGACAGCGCTTGTTGCCTCAAGCGGCCGACTTGTATCCCAGGTCTACCAGGACCGCACAGCTCGTCAACTGGAAGAGCAGATATCCAGTCTCAACGAGACCATGGACCAATTTCTCACCTTCGTGAAGCGAACTCAGCTGGTCACCAACGAAAAGGTGCTCAGCGAGCCGCTTACTTTGACTTCGATGGATCATTCAAAGCCGGTCGCTTCGGCCTCCACTACGCCAACCAGAGTCGAGCAGGAGCATTTGGGTCTCAGAAAAAGAGTGAACAATTTCTTCTCCAAACCAGCAAACTGAGAGGCTTGAAAGTCCGTCTGTTGGATGAGTCCAGTTGGTGGTTTGTCTGTCTTCAACGGCAAGTCACTAAATCGGGATTATGGCAAGCTTTGTCTGACCAAACGGCCCGGTGGATAACGAGTTACTTGCCATCAAGTTTCACACCTCCGGCTGGCCCTACCCTCATAGCCTCCTCAAGCGGGTCGACCCGGTCTGTTTCATCAAACTTCGCAACCAGCTACTCTGTCATCCGTCATGATTAATGTGTGTGTTAGTTTACCTCGAACTAACTTATGTATCGTCTCGACACTATCTTTCTCATTAATACACTGTGATCATTATTTGTTAAATATGCGATTTGTAATGATTATTTATTAAACAAAAGCTCTTTACCACATTGTTTATGCATGCTGGTATTATGTGTTGAGGGACTGTGGTCCCGTGAACAGCATTTTATGATACAAATTTGGTTGAGGCAAGTATCTTCCGCCACACCCATTCTAAAGGGGGAATCGTCTCCATCAGACTAGTTCCATTGATGATGCAGCATCGTAAAATAAGGTAAAAACGTTTTTATCACTCTTCTAACCATATCCTCCAAACAAATGGTAATTAGCTGTTGTTGCTCTTCTCTGTCCGACTTGGTTGTTAGCAATCGTATTTCGATCAATGCATTAACTTAATTGCCGCTTAGAAAGGGTATTTTAACATCCTTGACGGCATGTGTTTCCGGTTCAAATTTGCTGAGCTCACGAAAGCCTACATATAAAGTAAAAATAAGTATAAGTGGATTGACCTC